TCCCCCTTCCCCCCTTCCCCCACTTCCTTCCATCCGTTTCTTTCTTTCTTTCTTTCATTGTTGAGGTAGAGTTGATTTACAATATTAGTTTCAGGTTTACAGCATAGAAATTTAAAATTTTTATAGATTATACACCATTTAAAGTTACTATAAAATATTAGCGATATTCCCTGTGCTGTAATTGGTACATTTCTCTTGTTACTGCACCCTCACTGTCTCTTGCTGTGGTCTCCTCTGCCAGCCTGGGCTCTTCTCAAGGGCAGCAGTGGGGCTGATTCCTCCCTGTGCCCTCCACACCCAACATTAGAGGAAGATTGCTGAATTCATTGCACAGGTTGGCTCCTGGGAAAGTATCGTGTTGGAAGCCAAAAAGTTACATCCCCTGATTTCTAGAACCTTAAAGAAAAGTTAGAATCCAAGACTTCAGGTTGAAGGAGACACCAGCCCTAGACACTAGAGGCTGTGAGATCAGTGGGGGAATAGTGGGGGAGGGTTGTTAAGGAGTGGAGTGGGTAAAGAGCCTTCAGGAAGGGTGCTTGGTTGCAGAGTCCCACATTTGCGCTGACCTCAAAGCAAGTTTCAGAGGAGGCTGGGGTGCCATCATGATAGAAAAGGGCAGGCCATCAGCAGCCAAGAGCATCTTCATGGCAAGGCAAGTTGTCATGGGAGGATGAGAATCCAGAAAGGAGTGTCCAGAGGGTTGAGTGACCCATTGTGGGCCTGGTAGATAGATGGAAGTGGTACTAATCACAGCCATTTGTTGTGAATTCTTTTAGATGGAAAAAATAATTAAATAAGAAGGCAACATCGGTACAGCAGAAGGAGCACAGGGCTTGAAGTCCTAAATCTCAGAACATCTGTTAAGTACCTACAGTGGACCAGTCTTTGGCTAATAAGCATGAATACATTTTTCTCTCTCATATAAAGGAACCTGGGCTTGAATCCTGGCAGGACCCTTCACCGGTCTGAATGACCGGTGAATGAATCCTGACACAGTTTCCCTTATCTGCACAGTGGGAATGATTGATGATATTGTCTATGTCAAAGGATAGTATGTAAGCAAGTGTACGTAAGAGCAGCTAGCATAGCATTCAGTCCAGGCACATTATCTTTCTTTCCTTAGACCAGTGGTTCTCTGTCCTAACTGAACATTTAGAATCAGCTTTTAAAAAATAGCAATGCTGAGGCCACATTCCAGGCCAATTAAAACAACCTCTGGAGGGTGGAACCCCGGCTTTGTTTTATCTTTTCATTTCTTTCTTTTTTTTTTTTTTAAACTCCCTAGTGAACCTAATATGCTTTAGACGGTGTGGCAATTATTACCCATCCATTTGTTCATCAAGTATTAATTCATTTCAACTCCAAGGACCTACAATAAGAAATTGAGAATTGTGACTACCCAGATGTTATGGACTGAATGTTTGTGTCCCCCAAAATTATATGTTGAAATCCCAACCTCCAATGTGATGGCGTAAGGAGGTGGGGCCTTTGGAAGATTAGGTCATGAGGGTGGAGCCCTCGTGAACAAGATTACTGCCCTTATAAAAGAGATTCCAGAGAGCTCTCTTGCCCCTTCTGCCATATTAGGACACAGCAAGAAGACATCCCTCATCAGACATCAGATCTGCCCCTACCTTGATCCTCAACTTCCCAGCCTCCAGAACTGTGAGAAATAAATGTTACTTAAGCCACCCAGTCTATAGTATTCTGTTATACCAGCCCCAACAAACTAAGATATCAGATATAGTTGGTCATTTCTTACTTACCTCTCTCTGTAGGACTACTTCCCAGCACCCCAGCCTCCTGCCATGTCTGACCCCATCACACTGAATGTCGGGGGGAAGCTCTATACAACCTCACTGGCAACCTTGACCAGCTTCCCTGACTCCATGCTGGGCGCCATGTTCAGTGGGAAGATGCCCACCAAGAGGGACAGCCAGGGCCACTGCTTCATTGACCGTGACGGCAAAGTGTTCCGCTACATCCTCAACTTCCTGCGAACCTCCCACCTGGACTTGCCCGAGGACTTCCAGGAGATGGGCCTGCTCCGCAGGGAGGCTGACTTCTACCAGGTGCAGCCCCTCATTGAGGCCCTGCAGGAGAAGGAGGTGGAGCTGTCCAAGGCCGAGAAGAATGCCATGCTCAACATCACGCTGAACCAGCGTGTGCAGACGGTCCACTTCACTGTGCGTGAGGCACCCCAGATCTACAGCCTGTCCTCTTCCAGCATGGAGGTCTTCAACGCCAACATCTTCAGCACCTCTTGCCTCTTCCTCAAGCTCCTCGGCTCCAAGCTCTTCTACTGCTCCAATGGCAACCTATCCTCCATCACCAGCCATTTGCAAGACCCCAACCACCTGACTCTGGACTGGGTGGCCAATGTGGAGGGCCTGCCTGAGGAGGAGTACACCAAGCAGAACCTCAAGAGGCTCTGGGTGGTGCCAGCCAACAAGCAGATCAACAGCTTCCAGGTCTTCATGGAGGAGGTGCTGAAAATCGCACTGAGTGACGGCTTCTGCATCGATTCTTCTCACCCACACGCTGTGGATTTTATGAACAATAAGATTATTCGATTAATACGGTACAGGTAAAAGGACCCCAGCAACATTGGAGGGGGGCTTCCTAAAGCCAAGATCTTGGAGAGTGTCTCGCCAGTGGGGTGAGGCAGGCCACTATACTAACCTGTATTAATCGTGTAGCAGGACTTGATTTCCCCCGTGATGCAGTCCACCTGTAGGAATCCATGTGTCCTCTTGACACAGCCACCTTTTTCCTTGCTACTTTGAGCTGGGGATGGGCAGTTTGCTGTAAGTGAAGAGTCTGCCAACATGTCCTAAAGGAGGCCACAGGAGGACTTTTTGGCTAGACAGAGGAACAGCAGTTTTTTCTTGGGTCCAGCTCTCTCTGTACCATTAGTCAGTGCCTCACTTAGCCATCTGTAAACAGAGCCTCTGGTGGAGGGGATGGGGTGAGAACAAGAGGCTCCCTCTAGTTTCCCAGGACATGAAGTACCCAGAGATTCCCATCCTGCCTGCCCCTCCGTCCCTGGGATGTGGCCAGAACCTTGGACTTGCTTGGCTGGCTTGGAAATGAAGTGGGTAGTGAGGGTGGGATTTGAGCCTGGCATGGCCTGGAGGAATTAGCCTCCAGGCAGTGTTCAGAAGATGGGGATATCCCTCTGGACTGGGCCAAATCTAGGCCTTTGGGGATTTCCGGCTTCAGAAATAAGCTGCTGTCCCTGCGAAGATTTGAAAGTATCTGGAGCCAGTGCAATGAAAGGCGCTTCATAATGTGGCCTGATACCTGACTTTTGTAGTCCTTTGCCCAAGAAGTTGAAGTGTCATTGAAACAGATCATTTAAAACAAATATATTATGGACTCTCAGGGTTGGAAAATGATTCAACAGTCGCTCAGTCCTCCCGCACCCCCAGAACACCCCAGCACATTTGCGGCTGAGAGCTTCTCCCCAGTACCTTCAGGAGATCAACTATCCCTGCTTACATACCCTCAGTGACAGGAAGCTCGTCATCCCCAAGGCCAGCCCCTGCCATAGTTGGCTGTTAGAAAGTCCTTCCTTATATTGAGCCGAAACCTGTCCTTCCACAACCATTTTCTGGTCCTGGTAGACCTTCCTTCTCACCCAAATGTGTATTTTCTCTTTCAAAATAGTCACTTTGAGAGGCCAGATACCTATTTTGAAAATATTATTACTCGATATTAGGATTCCCCTTGGGATTTGTCTTCAGAACCATGCCCCTTTCATTCCCTGTAAGTCATCCCCATTTTGTCGTGGCTTTGCTCCATTTGTGACCCTCCCTCCTCACCAGACATGACTATGCATAGCTTTTGACCATCTTCTGTTGAGTTTGAAGATTGCTGCCCCAGAGGAAGGAGACCAGGGTCTTCGCAACGTATAACAAGGACCCTGGGAGTGACCTGAACCATAACATTGCCCTTGGAGTAAGCATCCAGCCCTTAAAACATTGCTCTGAAGGATGTGGGCTTCCCCTGCAGTAGTTTCTGGGCATAACCAGCCCATGGACCTCCTTGCAGTGAGACCCTGAGCCACCACTTCCCAGGGGGTGATGAGCAGTGCATGTCTCAAAGCTGCACATTATGATTCATCCCTGGCGTGAGGGTGGCCTTGGGAGCCCCAGAATCTTCCCCACTGGGCAGGGTCCCTCAGACAAAGCCAGAGAAGTCTCGTGCCACAGGTGCCCCCAGGGGATGGTCCGAGGAAGGGGCTTCCCATAGTTGCACCCTGTGAATAAGGAGCTTGTACGCTGGGCTGTGGGCAAGGCCACATCCCTTAGGTAATAAAGGACTTTTCCCCCCTACAGTGGGACCCAGGAGTCTCTGATAACTGTCCCATGCCACCAGGCCAATAGTATCCAGGAAAGCCACTCAGGAGAACCCAATTTAGACTAGCCAGCAGAAGCTGTGACCATAGCAGAACAGTTCAAGGAAGAAATCTTATAAATCACCACTGTCTCTTTTTCTTTTCCATAAAAATTCTTTCTCCATCTTTTCGGTGCTTCTTAATTCAAGCAGCTTGACTTTAGAGAAAGCACAGGTCCTGTGAAGCCACTAATTTGCTGTGTGACTTTATGCAAGTCACTTACCTCACTGAGCCATCTCTGTTTCTTCATCTGTGAAATGTGCATAACAGTAACACATAACCCTACCTACCTCACAGGGCTGTTGTGAGGATCAAATGAAATAATTTATGTGAGAATACAGTATAATTGATAAATGGTTGTTATTATTTTGTGTCTGCATATAAGGGAAAAAACCTTGGCTTTGGAATCAAGCTGACCTGGGTCTGAATTCTGGCTCCATCACTTGCTGTGTAACCTTGGACAAGTCCCTGGGCCTTCCTGATTTGTTTACTCATCAGATAACAATCCCACCTCCTAGTGTTCTGTGACTTGGTTGTGTATGTGAAAATTCCTAGCTAGGCCTGGCCCATAGGAGCTCAATAAATGTTTGCTCTTTTTAGGAGTAATGATGGACTGTCATGCAGGAGACACCATGAGCATATAACAATTTAACAAGCCTTCTGGGGCACCTGGTGTATGGTCCCTGAGGATGGGAACAGCCACAGATAAGTTTAGTCTGGAAAAGCTTAGAGGGCCACACAGTGTGCTGTGGGAACTTGGGGAAAGCAAGCTTAGTTCTCAGAAAAGGCATAATGGATGGTCGAGCTGGGCCTTTAAGGGTAGGTTGGATGGTAACAAAATGAGCTAAGGAGGGCACTGTGGGCATGGGAAACGCCATGAGCCGAGGCCCGGGAGCCATGCAGGTGAGGCGCCATGCAGGTGAGGCACCATGCAGGTGAGGCTCCACGCAGGGCCTCTGCACAAAGGGGGCCACATGCAGTACATGCAGAGTGTTCACTGTGCCCGTCTCCCTCAGGTGAGTGCAGCCACCTGCTTAGTGCAACAGAGAGATACTGAGCCTGCAGGCGGCACCATCCCAGAGGACCAGTGAGTCAGGGTCGGCTGGGAGGCAGGCATGTGATTCTTGTCATGAGCCCCTAGCTGCCCAGAGCGAGACACAGTGGTGGTCAGTGATCTCAACTGGACTCAGTTTATTTAGCCTTTTGCACAGCTGAGAGCTTTGTCCCAACTAAAGGGCATTCTGGGCACACGACCTTGTCAGCTCTCTGTTCCTCCCCGAGGCATGCAGAGGGATGGTCAGGGAGGGTGCTCTTGAGGGAACCCTAAGGCACTTTGGCGTGACCAGTTGGTGAGACCTGCCACCAAACAAGGCCCCTGCATGCTGGAAGGCCAGCAGTAGCTGTCACCTCAGGCACCTCCTAAAGCTCTTTGCCCTTCTATAAAGGGCAAGCCTTCTGATGCTAGGTTCTGTCTTTGGGCCAGAGCTCCCTGTGCAGAGGTGACCATAGCACCCCCCTTGCCAACACCTCAGTGCCCTACACAGCCCCCCAGGCTAGGATGTGGTCAGTCTGCTTTGTAAACTTCCATGTGGCCTAAAATATAGCGCTTTTGTAACTGCACCTTTGTTCACCCCAAACTTCCAGCTTTCTTTTACAAAGTACTCCTAAAACAGGCTACTGTAAGTGGAGGCATAGCCAAGATCAGCCTAGGCCAATTTCACTTGTGTCCAGAGCACCAGCCCATCCCTTTCCTGAACTGTGGTCTGTTCACACTGACCACCTGAGTCTGCCTGTATCCCAGGGGCCTCAGGGCTGGTTGGGCAGTTGGCAGGGAAATGAGACCCCCGTGATCATCTTGCAGAGCAAAACAACCTTGATAACTGGCCCATCAAAGGGAGGGGCCCAGGCTTCTTTCCAGGCCCTGTGGGGTCCTGGCTCTGGCAGCTCCATCTATCCAGACAGCCCTGTGATCTCAGTCTCCTTCAGAACCTTCAGGACAGTGTGGCACCAAACAGAGAGCTGTGGAGACAGTCTGGTGACATGCTCACCCCAGTATGGGGTACAGGGACCAAGGGGGGTCCTGAAGAGAAAAGTTGGCCTATGGAAACCAGAGGATCACTGAGCAACTCATGGTACCCAGAACCCCACCCGACACAAAGGACAACAAAATAAGCTCTGTGGTGCCACAGCTTAGCTCTGACTTCTAGGCAGGGAGTACATGCCCAATCAGGTGTGTCCGACCTCACTACCCCCCTCTCCTGGACCTATTTTCCACCAACTTCCCTGGCCCTCCCACCCCAATATATGTATTGGGGAGTATTTCAAAGCCTTTATCAACATTTCCCAGTTAACGGACGGCCCTAGAGTGTTTGTTGCATCCCATTCTTATGTCAGTCCCTCCCAAAAGCCTAGGTTCCCTTTTACTGAGGTGCTGGGTAAAGGCTCAGTTGAGTCACAAATCCTCTAGATCCTGCTGTATTGTGACATGGGTTCTCCCTTCCCAACCCCAATTAGTTCACTTTATAAATCCAGTACTGAATTTGCTTAAAAAACACCCTTTTGTTTGGCATCTCATAGGTTGCCAAGCTCCTTCCTGTCCATAGTTTCATTTCACAGAACCAAAGAATGACCATGCCATGCCATTCCACACCCTGCCTGCCCTTTACTACTTTGTCTACATAGCAAACATCTGCTCATCCTTCAACACTCTGCAGAAGCCTTGCCTCCTTGGCTCACCAAGTAGAGTTACTCCCAGCCTGCTTTGTACCACCCTATATCTGGTGTGGACTTTTATCAGCATACTGCAGCTGTTCACAGGCAGTGTTGTGCTGGTAAATTTTTTTTTTTTTTTTTTTTTGGTACGCGGACCTCTCACTGTTGTGGCCTCTCCCGTTGCGGAGCACAGGCTCCAGACACGCAGGCTCAGTGGCCATGGCTCACGGGCCCAGCCGCTCCGGGGCATGTGGGGTCTTCCCAGACCGGGACACGAACCCGTGTCCCCTGCATCGGCAGGCGGACTCTCAACCACTGCGCCACCAGGGAAGCCCTGTGCTGGCTTTTGATGCCAGTCAATTAGATATGCATTGTTTATTGCCTCGAGGCTGGCCGCTTAGCGAAATAGGTAT